AAATTTGATACATAGGCGCTTGGAACAAATGAAAATCTAACGTAAGTTTCCAAATTTAGATTTGCGCATGCGCAGTTCCAAATTTCTTATTTAGAAAAGCATTGAAATGAAATTCTTCTTATAAACTGAAATTGGAGTAGCACGTCAACAATGGATTGCCCATGTGCAACGCTATCTTTCATATTTGTGGCCGGATTTTTACGATTTTAACAGAAGTTGCATCTTACAAATGAGAAATGAATGCAAGTGGAAATGCGCTTTATGTAAATCGTTTACGATTACTTTTTAACTTGTTGTTTTTGCTTTACTTTTGCTAATTTCTTATAAGTTCAGTGAATAATTATTAATATTGTTAAAGATATACGAGACAAGTTTACCTTAAGATTGTCCCATATCTGTTGAGTTAATTATTTTTTCATTCATCTTGAGAGATTTATAGCTTTTTAGTTTGAAACGTTTGTACCTAGTGCAATTCAAACAATGTTGATAGCCGATTTTTACTTTATTTGAAATAAACGTTATTATTTGTTGTAGTATATAACTGAATTAAATTTAAACAAACGTAGCTTTAATTTTCTCAATTTATTGTGGAAATTATTTGGGTAGCTTAAATGTCGATTTCAACGTGCCTTATACTGTATATTGTTATTATTGCTATTCAGTGCCCCGTAGATATATGGACCCTTTCAGAAATTTGAAGGTCGCTCATCACCCATTCTCCCTCACTACCAAATTATCTATTTAGCCTTACGAAAATAGAATAATTGCTTTTTTTCACTACTAGCGTCTGATGACATGATTATTAACCTTTTTTCCACTTGTAAAGTAAAGTGTGGACATTATTAACTAGTAGTCAATAATGAGAACTGTCACGCTGTCACTTTTAGAAAACACAACCCAAAATTTCGCTCAATCAACGTTTAGACAAGTTCTCTAAAATGAATAATTGCCACCATCCGCCATTTCCAGAGAAATTACATACCTAAAATTATCACATTTTGAAAAAATTCGAACGAAATCACTCTTTAAAAATATCTCAATGACAGAACAAAATACGGCCTGTTTGACTTGTACTTCCACGTACTTGATTGACATGTTAAATTAATAAACAAAAAATTCCGTCCAACCGTTCACTTTCTTATCAATATAATATGTTAATTTAGAGGATTTCAAGTGCTAGTAGTGAAAAAATAGTATATATACCACGGTAGAGAAGTGTTTTATTGCCTTCGCACCTTACACCTTGATATATAATGTACTATTATTGAATACACTCCACCACAATCCTGTTCATTTCAAAATACAGATACACATTATTGATAACACTTTTTTTACGTTATTGAAAACAAACCAAAACTTTACAGTCCGGGATTATAATCCTTTGGCCATTTATGCTAAAAATATACGCTCCAGAACTTGCTTTTGCTTAAACTTTGCATTTTCTCACAATTTATTGCAATTAAATATGGTGAGTACTAATCTAATTTCACATTGAATGTACGACTTTTGTTGTGTGTGAAAATGGTTGCATTGCAGTATACCTATATATATGCTTTTGTAACATCTCTTAATCATGTCACAATGAAGTCAATTCTGCTAAGTATATTGTTCTTTGGAGTGCAGTGCAAAAGAGTAACAAAAAGATTGTGTAGCGATCTGTATATGTCATAATGTACTTTTAGTTAGATCCGATGGTCATCGCTGAATGGGAAGAGGGGGTACTTCCGCATATCGATTATTGCGTTAATATCACGAACGTGGACTGGGACATTGCAAAGAACATGTTTAGAAATGTGCATCTTCCAGATGAATCAACCTTTCATTGTTACATGAAATGCATATTTGACAGACAGCTGTTACTTAATTCGAACCAAGAACTGGATCAGGACCAAATGTTGGAAAAGATATACGGACTAACACCTGATCTATCACAATTGTGTGTTGACGAGTCAGCCGGTATAGAAGACATTTGCGTAAGAATATATAATATTACAAAGTGTATTGTACATGACATCGCTGACGATTGAGATCGATTCATTTCTTTTGTTAGGTATCTTTGTTTAAATATTTTTGATATGGAATGAGTAGATATTTGAGAAATTGTTTTTTAATTCAATCCAAGAACTGAATCAGGACGAAATTTTGGAAATAATTTAACATCGAATCTATTTATTTATTTAATAATCTTTTACGAACAAAATTGAGTAAAATTAATAAATATATGTTTTTTTAAATCGCACCACGATTACTAAATGACATGTTTTTACTATTTATAATGTCAAAGGGGAGGGAAGGGGGGCAAAGATCAGGGAAAGGTTCTGGGCCTGAGGTTGGCGAATGACAGTAAGACGAACCAAACCCAAGTGAAGGTTGAACACCTGACGCCGAGGAGTCGAGGACTACATGGTCAGGAAGGGCTTGCTCGTTAGTGAGCGAAGGCAGCCCCCCAGTTTAAATTAGCCTTCTGGTGGTAACGGCAAGCTGCCAGTAACCGTGTAAAAGTCCAATACTCTTGAAACCTGTATGTCTGACTTAAATATGAAAACGACTTCTGACAAAGACATCAGTCTAGACAGTGTCATCATCCCTCCTTCTGAAGGAACACTTGAGGACTCCGAAGCTGTGAAGTGAAGAGTATGCAATTAAAGGCACCCACATGAAGTTAGCCCCCCAACATTAATATAATGAAACGTCAAATACTGCGCATTCGTTTGCACATTGATTCCACATTTAGTCACAATCCGATTTTTCTTTTGCACATTTCTCTAAAAAAAGATATTGAAAAAACACATTAGGGGGGGGGGGGCAACTTCACGATTTTAGCCCCCCAACATTAAAATAATGAAACGTCAAATAGTTCCTTCGTTTGCACTTTGATTGCACATTTAGGCACACTTCGATTTTTCGTTTGCACATTTCTCTGAAAAGAGATATTGAAAAAACAATGGTGGGGGTGCCCAAGGTTGGTATATTACAGGTTGCCTCGTAACTATCGACCAATAGCAATCGAGGCGCGAATACGTCACTGGTATCCCACGATTTAAACGAAATAATAAATGCATGCAGCCATACAGCTGGAAAATTTGATGCGTAGCTATTGTTTACAGTTCTTTGATGATGTTTGAATCGTTTAACTAGTGAAACACATATTCAGTTTTATATTTTAAAATTTAGTAATTATAAATCGTTATATAATACAGTCAATCTTCGTCTGATGTACCAGTGTTTACCGCGAAAGATAAACAGCTTCATCTAACAATCAATTGCGTAGTCACATTTTTCTTCCAATTCTCTTAACGTAGTTTATATCGTCTCTACAATTAGTCTTCGATTTGTAGATGAGATAGGCGGTATCAACGAGACCATATGATTCTCCTGCTTCGGTCAGTTTTAAACACGTTCATCTTCTGCCGACCCGCTTTTCCCTAAAGCATCATTTTCTTTCATTTTCCGTAAATATCGTGACCGCCAATCAACAATGTTGCTACGTTCCATCAATAATTGAAATTGAAATTAACATTACCTAATTTAGTTATGAGTTTTACTGATTTGCCGTCACAGCAGCAGCTAGCTCTGTAGCCTTTTCCAAAGGAAATGCCCACACACTGGCAGCTTTCTGTTTGTCAAAGAATTCCACGACCCTTGTAATAATATTTCTAGGTTCTAAATGCACAGGTATAGGAGGTTCAATATTTATAACCTTACGCGTATGTCACATAAGCGGTAATGACAAGATAACGAAATTTGAGTGGCTACCAGTGACGTCACGAGCAGACGACTTGATCCCCATTATTGCAGTTACGAGGCAACCTGTAATATACCAACCTTGGGGGGTGCCAACTTCACGATTTTGGCCACTTAATATAAAATTAATTGAACGCTATAATACTTCATTCGTTTGCAATTTGTTTGCAGATATAGGCACACCTCGATTTTCGTTTGCGCATTTCCCTAAAAAAAGATTCTGAAAAAATAAGAATTTGGGGGATACCTTTACGATTTTAGCCCTCCAACATTAAAATAATGGAGCGCTATGTATTTCATTCGTTTTTGACTTTTTTCCTTTACCTTTACATAATTTTAGGCCCTAACTAAAAAAACCTTAAAATAGAACTATATATTATACTCACCTCCCTAAAGAAGAAATTAAGAAAATAAATAGGGGAGGGTACATTCCCACTTTTATCGCATGTCACTAAATGAATTTGCACTGATAGATTTTAGTTTGTCTATTTCGGAAACGGGGTGTTTGATTTCTGTTAGACCATTTCCGATATCACGTTTATTTCGTTAGTACTGGAAATTTGTGAGGCGATCTTATGACAATATTTTATTAATTTTTGCAAATTTATTTGTAAAAATGTAGCTTTTAATCTCACTTTGGTCATGTATGTACCTACCGGGGTCGTGTAATTAACAACAGGGACGGTGCTACATGATGTGGTGTCGGCGACATCTGGGCGCCATCCTCGAGCGTGGTGTGCTAATCTAGTTTTTTCCTATCTTCTTCTACAGTTTTGGTCCGATTGTTTTCAAATTAGTGTCGCCGGAAAGATCTTGTAAACGCGCACAATTCTTGCGTCGCGGAATTTTGTTTTTTTTCCCAGGGACGAAATTCACCACCTTTTGCAAGGTGCGCGTCTTCGAGGGATAGTCGACTTCGAGGACTCAAAAGGTATCCTCCGCTGCGAATTTTGTCACGCGGTTTAAAGTTTCTTAAAACTCGAATCGCGGTTTCTGTTTCTCGTGCCGCCAACAAAAGCCCGAGCTATGAGAAGTGCCCCAAAAATTGAGAATTATTTTGTGAAGGGTTTTTAGCGAAATCTACCAAAATGCGAATTGCGGGTGAACGGGACGTCGGAAATGGGTACTGACAAAGGGAATGTGGTTACCACCGACAAGGTCTTACTGATGATGGAGTCAAAACTTCAAACGCGAATTCCGGGTCAACGGGAAGTGGGTACCGACAAAGAGCATGTGGTAGCCTTGGATAAGTTCTTATTGATGGTGGAATCAAAACTGGCTAATTACTGATCTGTCACACAAAAATACGCTGAAGTTCCTTTGATCTCATACGAGGACTTTGATAATTTTTATAGAATGCTTTTACAGAAATCTTCGAAGGTACAATTATGTAAAGGTAGCATACTTAATTAACGGTGAAACGCCGCTATTCTAAAGGTGTGCGAAGCAATGAACTAAATAATTAGTCCAATTGGAACTGTTAAAAGTGTGTATGGAAAAATATGCACAGTTGCTAATATAACTATTAATCAATTATTAAGTAGCATTAAAGATTTCTCTAGAGCCTCTTTTCGAGATTCATAATTATTTATCTCGGTAAATATCGACTGTATACAAAATTTTTCTATATGAAAGCTGTTTAGCGTTTTATTTCCCATAACTCCCAACATTTTTCTTAAGTTATTTAACATTCCTTCGCTGAGTATACTAAGGCGATTCGGAAGGCAAAAGTAGCGTCTTGGGAAAGATTCCGTGAGACAATAGAAAAAATTCCCATAGCCTCTCGTCTACGAAAGATCCTCTCAACAGAGAAAAACTACCCGTTGGGGAACGATGGTGGGACAAGTCGGGGAACGCACCGGCTCAACTAGAGAGATTTTGCAACTTTGTTACGAACACACTTCCCAGGTTCCGTTGAGCAGGCGGTTTTAGTGGCCGTATATTCACACCAAACAGGGTCCTTTGGCCGATAAGCTGCCAAAAGCCTTATAAATCAGCTGGAATGGGAGGAAATGGGGACTAAATCACCGCCTCTCTTTCTGGCTATACACCACTGGAGTTAGGCCTATCTTGACCTGCGGTAGTATGGTGGTCCAAAGCGGGATCAAAACTATCTCAGACTAAACTACGCACACTGCAACTAATAGCCGTCTGAGTATTATTGGCTGCCAAGGAATGCCAAACTTACGTTGTTCTATCTTCAATGGCGCGCGTTGAGTAGAGTAAACGTATTTGTTGGCGGCTCCGTACATACATTAATTTATAAACATTTAAAGCCGTTCTTTAACTCAAACTTGTGCAATCTTTGTACTTCACAACCTGTGCTTTTACAATCTACTTTGAAAAGTGTCATCATGGTGTTTACGAAGGCGCAGAAAGAAGAATTTTCTCTTATTATCAAAGAGGTGCTTCTGGAGGTCTACGCCAATGTGTAAATCAAGTTCCGAGCTCAGCGATGGATAACTTACAGTCGCTACAAGCAAGTATTGACACTTCGAATAATAAGTTTGATTTAATTATCAACAAGTATGATAAAAAAATAACGGAGTTGGAGTCCGTAAATAATACTCTCATGCAGAGGGTTGATAACTTGGAACAGTATTCGCGCTCATAGCGCCAAACGTCAAGTGATAATGAGCCGTAAGCTTCTTAAAGGTTCTAAAATTACTATTAAAGAGGACCTAACAAAGAATAGACAATTGCTGTTATCTAAAGCAGTAAACATGTTAGGTTTCCGTAATTGCTGGTCTCGTGATGGTAACATCTACGCTAAGGTGAAAGACAAAGTTCATCCAATACACTGTGCGGCCGATATAGACAATTTGAAAAAGGAGTCTCCAGCAAATCCGAACTAATCTCGTGTGCATCTGGCATTTAGCCAACGTTCCTGCGGTGTTTATTAAAGATAAAAGTTTTTTTTTTGGCCTTTAATTTTCTTTTTTGAAAGCGAACGCTTTTTCTTTCTTTATCTCTATTAATTCAAATATAATAACTAGTTTTTTCTTGTTTATAAAAAGTTGTTTTCTTGCATCGTGTAATCTATAAAATAAATTTGCGTTGAATTGAAATGTTTGTAGAGTCATCGTGTATGTTTTAATGTTGCATTATTTTTTTACAGCTTTATCTTAGCCGATGTCTTTAAAAATCTCTCACCTTAACATCAGATCACTGAACACTGGGTTTGACTTCTTTCAAGATTATGTAGCGACTCAAGATAACCATATAATTGCTTTATCGGAGACGTGGTTAAATTCAAATATCTGTGATAATGCTTATAATATCGATGGCTATAGGTTTGTTAGGAAGGATCGCGAAGGGAGGGTTGGAGGTGGGTTAGGTATTTATGTGAGAAATACCCTAAATTTTACAATAATTGAGACAGA